AGGGGCTGCACCATCTCCAATGTGGTGTCCAGCTCTGCTGGCATTAGTGCTGGAGGCCTGGGCCTCTGTGGTTTAATTCTGACACCCGTTACAGGAGGGCCCAGTCTGGCGCTCTCAGCAACTTCCTTGGGGCTGGGAGTGGCAGCATCTGTAAACAGTCTTACAACCATCGTTGTAGAAGAATTAAACAGACTGTCAGATGAGTCTGAAGCCATGCGCCTGGTGGGAGCCAGCATGGACACTCTGGATGAGATTGTGCAGATCACGCCTAAGATGAGTGTCAAACTTTATAAAACACCTGGAGAAGGTTTTGATGACTTGAGGTCCCTCAGGGATCATATCCACGCTCTCAGGATAGCCAGAGCCAGCGCTCGCTCTGCCCAAGGTTCTAGGCAGGTGGGAAGGGCTTCATCCAGCTCTCTTCTCCCAATGACCAGAGGAGCCAAGATTACAGCAGTGAGCTTTACCAGTATCTTCCTTGGGTTGGATGTGTTTCACCTTGTGAAAGACTCAATGCATTTGTATGATGTGGCTAAGACAGAGTCAGCTAGAGCACTTCGGAACCTGGCTCACAACCTGGAAGAGAAGTTACATAAATTTAAGAAGATCCACGAGGCTCTATAGTAAGACCTGCGTCAGTGACCCCACCCCAGGCTCTCCAGGCGGCATTGGCTCTGCTTGTGTCCTTGCAGTTAGAGCTAGACATGTCCTAATCCCTCCACATGAGTCTGTAGCCCTTTCTGGACAGTTGAAGGGTCTAGAAATGCTCCGTTCCATTCCTGGGTCTGGTCATGAGATGCCTGTCAGGGTCGGCTTGTGGCCCAGGGGACATTTACATGGTCCTGCCTCTTACTGTGTTTCTCTCCAACAAGGGAAAGTCATGCCGATGAAAGAGGAAGAATAAAAGTCAGAAAAGTTTCTTCTGTTTTTGTTTGTTTGTTTTTAGGGGGCAAAGGAAAAACCCAGCTTTCTATAGGAAAGCATGGTCACAAGTTTTTGCCAATCAAAGTGTCCACCATGGCTTGCTCTTGACTCAGCCTCTGAGCTGTGAAATGAAAGTTGATGCTTCATACCTCACCACAGTCTTCCCATATACAATATCAGCCCAGCCTCATAGTGCATGTGACAATTACACACAGAACTGAAACATGGGCAAAGACTTGTCTCTTAAGAGAATGATTGTAAAACTCCAAACAAATGGTGAAATAAACGAGTTGTGATCTATACTGTATGGGTCCCAAGTAGCCACCTGTTCTCCCTGCTCAAAGCTGTGAGGACATGGCCATCAGGCCCCAGCGACATTTTTGTAGGGTGACATAGGCCACCGCAGCAAGAGTTACGTTCACCTATGGTGTCGAGCCCCTTTCTTTCAGTCTCTTCTCCTGGGACTAGAAGAAATGTCGCACAGCCGTCAAGATGTAGGTCTCTGGTAGAGCAGAGGATTTAGTGAGACATGAAGTGGAAATTCTGCTAGAGAGGATGCTGGGGACTTCTTAGAGGAAGCAATGCATGATGGTTATAAGTAATGGTGGCTTTCTAGTGCCCTGCTCTACAACTTCAGCACACCACAGAACCCAGGACTGAGCTGAGGGGTGAGGAGAGGCAGTGTGCCTGGAGGGATGGAACTGGTCAGAACTGGAGGTGTGGAGAGTGATCTGTGGGAGTTTCTGAGCCTGCAGGTGCATGTTTTTTGTTTGTTTTTTTCCTTCAAGACCATGGAGAACCCACAACAATACAGGTGTGTAGAGAAGAAGCTTGAAGGTCAGCCTGAGGTTGGCCATGTGAGTGTGTGGACAAGGAGTGGAGTGAAGGGGTGCCCCATCCAGCGGGGGTTCAACAGGTCCCTAAGGAGGGGTGAAAAGAATGGGGTGGGAAAGAGACTCAAAGAATGGAGACCAAGACAGGTTGTCTGATCAAGTCCTCATTTATTTGAAATTTTTACACAACTATATAGGGGGAAGGCAGGAAAGGGGAAAGGCTAATTTACTGCTGCAGAAGATAGCGAAAGTGTTTTATGGTTTGAGATACCGCACCTGCAAGATACCGTAAGAATGTTTCCTTAAGATATCTCAAGGAAAAAAAAAATTAGAAAAAAGATATCTCAAGGATGCTCCAAGACTAACGAGCAGATGTTCTCACATAAGTTTATCACCCATGACCTAGGGTCCTAGTGCAGCTTTGGTAACTTTTCCACTAATTGGCTTTGGCTCCACTAAATGGCTTTGGCTCACTAGTTGGCTTTGGCTCCCGGCATCTCCTCCCTTCTCAAACAATTTAAGAGGCTAACAGGTAGGTTTTGAACATGCGGTCTTTTGAAGACGGTGGGCATTAACCAGAGGGGGGAAGTAGTGACCTGATCCTCCAAAGATGTTTTGTAGTCTTTTTTGGGTGTCTTTTGGGGGAGGAAAGGAAGACCCCATCAACACCCGAGGGCATCCCCTGCTGGTTGTGGTTAGGGGTAATCAGACACCAACCTCTATGCAATCAGGTTTGCTTCTCGGGGGACTCAGAAGCTGGCAATTGGGCCCTCCCCCTGCGGTACCTCATCCTACACCCCTTGCAGGTGCCCACGCATTATCAGGCAAGCATTTATCTGAGTTTCATGCTGTTCTCAGGAGAGCTAAGTGCAAGCAGTCAAGACCCATGTGATGGACTGTTACAAGTCTTCCTCGGGCTCAGCTAAAGCTCTGTCAGCCAAATCAAGTCTGTGATAATGAACTTGTATGGGTTTAGATGCCAGGGAGTCAATTTGTTGTTTTACAAAGCTATTAAGTCTTCTAATGGCCCATGGGCCGAAAGATATGAGAAGGAAGCCCACCATGGGTCCCAAGACTGAAGGGAGGAGAGTGGTGAGCCAGGGAGAGGTGGAAAACCAATTATGAAGCCAACTTTCCTCTTGTTCTCTCTGTCTCTTTCTCTCTTTTAGGCCCTCCCTAACTTTAGCCATGCTGTCCCTTACAATCCCAGTATAATCCGTGTAAAAGCAACACTCTTCCTTGAGGGCAGCACAGAGTCCCCCTTGCTGGAGGAAGAACAAGTCTAGCCCTCTTCGATTTTGTAGGACAACTTCAGACAGCGTGAGGAGGGATTTTTCCAAATTGGCGATGCCAATCTCCAAACTCTCAACATCCCTGTCAATTGTCTGGCGAAGGTCAGAG